GTACACACACACTGTCACTCACACACAAATTCACACCACTTTACATAAAGTCACACTTAGCCATACCTGAGTGCTGTGACTGGAGGAGAAGGGGACCAGCCTGTGGGAAGTTGTTCTTCTTTCTACTGGGGAGAGCAGGAGAGCCATGTATTGTGTATAGATCATGCCCCTGCAGTCTCAATTCTCTGCCATTTATGAGTTAAATCTCTTTGTTTATACAGCCCTAGCCACGCCTCCTTGCATGTGACTTGCGCAGCCTTCCTAAACACTTCCTGTTAAGTGAGCTCTAATGTTTAAACTTTCTTTATCACGCTTTATTACTTTAGAATTTCTTATCAACTGATCTGTTAATAGCTTGCTAAACCCTAAGGAGCCTCCTGTATGTAATTAAAGTTCAATTTACAGAGCAGGAGACAAACATTTACAAAGCAAGCTAACATCTGATTGAAAATGAAACCATTTTGTTTTCATGCAGGCTGTCTCAGTCACAGCCAGGGGAGGTGTAGCTAGAGATGCATAAACAGAGAGAAAAGTGATTTAACTCCTAAATGGCAGAGAATTGAGCAGTGAGACTGCAGGGGCATGATGTATACACCAACACTGTTTCAATAAGATAAAGTTGTTTTGATGCCTACAGTGTCACTTTAATGGCACTGATTCTCAGGTAGGACAAAACAAAATTATATAAAGCTTGAAATATACATTTTGGCAAAACGCCCTTTATTTATCAATAGGGAGAGTGGCCTGGATAAGATCACTAACAGCCCCTCAAACTAGCTGTAACAGTGCCCCAAATACAAGGAATCACCCACGTAGGTAAGGAGATTAATGGGCCGGTTATAGATCAGTGTGGCGAAACCAGCCTCGCCACGGTCCACTGGAAGAGCCTGGTTGCTCGCCTGCTCCCTTTAGACTATGGCCCGGCAGTTAAAACCTTTTATTTTCCCTGCAGAAAAGCGTATTCGTGCCTTTCTGCAGACTGTTAAAGCCATGCTACCCCAGATAGCTATGCCATGGAGCCCATCCGTATACTGAAAGACTGTATGAAAGACTTTGGCTCCATGGCTATTGAACTGTATGTATGTGATTTGAGCGCCATCCGGTAATAATGTGCGCTCAGATCTAAGCTATCTGGGGATAGGTAGAATGTGTATGTTCTATGTGATAAATGTAACAGTATGTAATTTTATGTCTTTTATTGTCCTTTGTCTGCCATGTGGCTAATGGAGTTTTGCCTCTGTCCTTGGAGATAATTTGATTACTTCCCAATTACCTCCAGGACAGAGAGGAGGGATTGTGATGCATTGTGGGAGTGTTTAAAGGTGTATGTCTGTGATTGGTCAATGTCCAATATGTTTCCCAGTTTCCCATCTGGTCCCCTAGGGGAGTGTCCACCAGGTGGGAGACCTGCATAAAAGCCGGGCAGGTAGCCCCAGTAAATCAGTTCCTTCTTGACCCTCAAAACGATGTGTCGTCTCGTTATTGGGGGAATTGGATTGTATGCTGATTGCCAGGAGTGTAAGCTGATTGCATGCTTTTCCTTTTCAGCTGTTTCCAGTATTCGTGTGTTTCCTGTTCGGGAGTTGGTGAATTCGTGTAGTTTGCAGTTCGGGAGATTGGTGCTTACAGTAGCTATCGGTGCATCTGGAAAAGGGAATATCGCCTAAACCGTTTTTAACCTCTGGTTACAAAACGGTCCATTACAATCAGATTGTGATTTTTGCAAGTTGTATGCTGGATAATATTTTAATTTTCAATAATAGGTATAGAATTTTCAAGCATATGGGCCTCAATTTAACATTTTGTTTATGCTTTTTAAATGATTTTATATTTTGGATAATTGTTTAAAATGATTTTAAAAAATCTGTTTTTTAAATACAATATATAATAAAATATTAACATATGAAAGTATTTTTCATAATATTAAATAATTTTAAAGGTTTATATAACAATATAAAATCATTTGAAAAGCTTAAAGTTAAACTGAGGCCCATGTGACTGTGGAGTGTCATGGTGACACAAATAGAGCTCAGCGCAACATACGGAAAATATGTAAAGTAATTTTTAAATAGTATTTCAAAGCAAATTAAAATCAAGTAAACAATGTGTGGACTTAGTCACACCATATGGGCCACATTGTGTTTAAGCCAACTGGCTCTTTCAAAGCATTTGTAAATCAGTGAAAAAATAGAGATCATTAAAGGTATTTTTTTCTTTTTTCTACATTTATTGAATATTAAAAACTGTAACGTTCATTCCCATTTTCAGATGTCTGGGTTATTTACTAAACTGGGAATCCAAAGTGAAATTGAGTGGAACTTTTACGTTTAACACCAATGTAGCCGAACTGTAAGCAAAGCTGGCTTAGAGAATGTTTCCAGTTTGGCTATTTGACCTTGAATTAATACCTCTCAACCATTGAGATTCCGTCAGGACAGTCCCAATTTTCAGGCCCTGTCTTGCTGTACCAGTTTGATTCCCTGCTGTCCCGCTTTTGGGAACCCGAGGAAACTGTCTTAAGTATTCATGACATTTTGCCCTCTATGTCCTGCCGTTAGTGGGCCGACCTAAGTGATGGACTGGCAGCCTGATGTGTATTCACACCAGACAGAGCTACAATTAACTCAAGTAGACCAGTCGCCTTTCAAGGTGGGTGAGCCCCTTTAGGGGCAGAGCTAGTAACGCGATTGCATCACTGGTCCACTCCTTTTACCTCCCTCCCACCGGCATCCCAATTCTCTGTATTTGGATGGTATGCTTGAATTTGATATTTACTTTTAATTCTTACTTTATTAATAACCCTGTTAGTTGCTGAATGGTGAGCTCGAAGAATCTATTCTGCGTTAGTGAATATGATGCGTGTGTCCATCAATCTCTAAGTGACATCATGGCGAGATGCACTGCGTTTCACATAGCAGATAACACTTTCAGTTCTATCAGTTGTGATACAATCCTCTTCACGTTCTATTTATGATTCTCCCTGCAGAGCGTTTCACATCTCCTGCCACAATTATAATTAGATAACTTACTCTTCAATCATTTTTTTCATTCAATATGTATGATTCATTTATTTTTCCTGACGAATGTCTGATATTGGAGACATCTAAAATAACGTGGAATATGTTACAGATACATTTGTACAAACTCTGTGAATGCAAATAGCACTTACTAGAAATAACATTTATACAGAGTATTTTCTATTTTTTAGGAAGGAAGTAACACGCCGATCCTGTAAGATCTCCTTCAGCCTAACAAGTGTCGTCCTCTGCATTAAATCAAGTTCATTACACATCACTGTGAATATTTATGATGAATGTTCAGGACCTAATCAGCTGAAACGTTGCAATCACAGTCACTTTGATGTCATGGCTCATTCACAATCATGTCCTTGCAGGGTCCACAATAAATGAACACACTATTAACCTTCTCACTCTCAAATATGTTCACACAAATTCTACCTCCTGTGGCACTGTGCTGCTACCTTTGTAGGTCAAATCTTATTGCTGCATTAGAGCAGCCAGGAAGGGGCGAGGAGAGATAGAAGACTCTCAGCACAGGGAGTACACTATAGACATTCTGTGCAGGCTGCAATGTAAGCCTGTAATTCTCTCCATACCCCAAACCTACATCACAGGGTGCATTACTGCTCTCTGCATCATTGCATCGCTCATCATTAAAATGGTGCAATAATGCCACTGCAGTTTTTATAAAGCACTGACATCAAAACATTGCTCTTTATGATGATTCAACTTTTAAATGTCAATATTATTAAAGTGCATCTATGTGTTTGTTATGCTATTTTCTTAAATTAGGAACCTAGTCATGAAGGGTTTAAGGAAAGTAAAATATGTATAACATGTATACAGTGATGTATCCTGGTTTTGTGCTTCCCTAGGCAGAACAAAGTCACATTTTCATATAATATTGAAGGTATATCTACTCCTCAAATTCATTGCAGGGTAAGGTCATCGTTATACATGCAGGGACGTTTTAGCTGCGAGGCAAACATTTGCCTTGGGCGTCATATTCCGGCTCCCCGCATTACTCGGCGGCGAGGTAGCTGAGCAGAGCGCTCAGGGGAAAGTTCTCCCTTGCTAGCGCCGCACGCCCGTCTGGCTTGTCAGTTAGCCGCAAGGCAAACTCCGGCCGCAGCTCGGTGACGGCTGCAAACTCTGGCCGCAGCTCGGTGACGGCTGCAGCTCCTGGATTTCTCTTTCGGCGCACGGTCTTCACCACTCCCCCCCCCTCCCCACCCAGGATCTGCCTCCTGACCAGATACTGGTGTTTTGTCGTCCCTTGGTGGGACTTGATGCCGGGAGGCACTGTTTGGGCCTTATTTTCTGTGGCTCAGCACCCTCTATCTTGGCAGACTTGGGCCCATTACTGCTTGCATTCTGTGGGGATCATCAGGATACCTTCTCCCCAACCCACCCCAGTACCGGGATATCTCCCTTTGGGGTGACAAGTTTATATGCTGGGGGGTCACCTATCTAGAAGCATAGCTCTCCCTCCCCCGTATGTTGGTGCTCAGTTTCTGCCCCTGCTACAGCACCCAGGATTGGCCTGCTTTGCCTGTGCCCCATGATTGGCCTGCTCTGTCTGTGCCACAGGATTGGCCTGCTTTGTATGTGCCCCATGATTGACCTGCTTTGTCTGTGCCATTGCCACTGAGAGACCCTAGTTTGGCTATTATATACATATATTTATATACACTGCCTAGCTTGCCACAAATTTGGGGTGGTGTTCCAGCTTTTCTCTTTGTGACACTTGTAATATTCTGCCCGTAGGTGTCATGCTGCAAACACTATCTCTCCTGCTATAGATCCCGCAGCCCAAAACCAAGCCTTACAGGCCATCATTAATGCAACAGTGGCTGCCTCTGTGGAGAAAGTCCTGGCTAGGGCCCTCCCACAAGTGCCACAATACACGTGCTCTAGAGATACCCCCCTCAGGGCAGAAATCTCCACTGAGTCAGACTCCCCCAGGAGGCAACGGGCAAGAGCGACTAAGCGCTATCGGAAGGGTGAAGGCCCTGAGCCATGCACCCAGAAGGGCAAGGCGCCAGCAAAGTGCCCGAGTCAGACGAGCTCAGACTCGCCCACCCAGCTGAGACGCCTCTCCGACGGGGAGGAGGATTTTCCTTTAGACGAATGACCGGCAGACCAGTCGCCCCCCTTGGAAGATGAGGACAGGTGGGGTGAGGACGAGTTTGAAGACTCCATGTGACCCGGAGACTCCCAGGTTCCTCCTACGCAAACAATGCCCACCTCTCAGCTGGATGACCCACTTTGCCAGATAAGGTCACCATGACCCTTGAATTTGACACCATGGTCTCCACTTACCTAATGCCTTCCGGACGTGACCCTAAGATAGGGGCAGGATAAGCTGTTGGATATGCTGGGCCTGCTGGCTACAATCCTCATGCTGGCAGATGAGGCTTTTTCTCAGGGTGCCACCCTGAACCCATCTACCATACAAAACTGGGCCCTGCTCTCCATTTGCCTGCTGGGCAATACCAATGTGGCGCTCTGCACAGAGCGGAGGAAGGCGGTCCTATTACGCATGGACGCAAAACTATCAGACTTGGGGTTGAAAGAACTAGGACCCCTGGCCAAGGGTTTGCTCTTCCTTCATCAAGGAACTTCACAAGCACGTGAACCTCTACACTACCCTGAGCAAAGCCCAAACCTCGATGAAAAGGGTCTTCCGACCACATAGCTCACGTGATTTTGGCATGGCTGGACGACAGCAGGGTCGTATCGCCAGCCGTTTCTGGCCCTCTTGCCATCGAGGATCCCAGGCACCCTCCTTCTTCCCCACCTACCACTCAAGGACCTTCACCTCCCAAAGTTCGGACCACGGTAGTGGTAGCAGAGTTCGCGGACGTCCAAGGATGCCCACAGGTGCGCCCTGTTCTGTCAGTTACTTTTTCCACTCTGTTACATGCGGGCAGGTTGTATCACTGCATAGACAGGTGGCTGTCGGGTTTCCTCAGACACATGGGGGCTATGTAATAGACTTTCATTCCACGCCGACACAGGTTCACCTTCTCCCGACCCCCGGGTTATCAAGGGAACATCAGTCTCAAATAGATGCCAAAATCCAGGCCCTCTTCAAAAAGGGCGCAGTCCAGTGGGCACCAGACGGCGAGGGTTTCTTCAGCTCCTTCCTTATCCTCGGTGATAAACTTGAGGAACCTGAATACATTCAGCACTTACCGACATTTCAAGATGGAGGGCATCCTCCACCCCGGGGATTGGTTCACATGACCATGCCTATCTGTCCATACCAGTGGATCCTACGTGCTGACGATTCCTCCGATATCTCTGGAGGGGCAGACCTTTCCAGTTCACCTGCCTGCCCTTTGGTCTCGGTTTGGCACCTGCTAAAACCGGTGACGGCACGACTTCAGTCCGGGGGTGTCCGTTGTATCATCTACCTGGACAATCTACTTATATATTGCGAGGAACCCTCCAGACTGAAATCTCAGACACTCTCTGCGATCTCCTTGTTCGAGTTGCTGGGTTTCGAGATCAACCAGGAGAAATTGGTCCTCGCACCGACATAGGTGATCGACTTCTTGGGTTTCAAAATAGAAGCGACAGAGTGCCTCCTATGCCTTCCTCTGTGAAAGATCTCCACCGTTCGGAAGGAAATCTGGAGAATTTTGAGGCAGGACGTATCCCACTCTGAATGCTTGCTCGCTTAGTGGGTCTCCTCTCCGTATCGATCTAGGCGATATATCCGGGACACCTTTACTACAGGGCCATGCAATGCCTGAAGGACAGTTTCCTGCGCAGGAGCCCCTCCTACAAACAAGTGATCCCTCTCACACCGCAAGTCAAGATCGAGCTTCGCTGGTGGCTACTGCACATGTCATCTTGGAACGGCAAAGCGATTTTCGGCCCGATCCCGGATTTCGTACTGGAGTAGAATGCGAGTCTCTGGGGTTGGGGAGCCACTAGTTCGAACAGCTCCACTGGAGACGGAATACCACATAAATTGCCTAAAATTGATTGTGGGCTTGTTTGCAATACGGAGCCTTGCGAACAACCTATCAGATTGTTGCATTCTACTCAGGATGGACAACATCTCGGCGATGCAGTACATCAACCCGTTCTTGGATACTATTGGAGGTAACAAGGAGATCTACAGCTTTTGTTTCCAATGCAAAATCACTCTCCGGGAGTGTCGAACCTGACTGCAGACTGGTTCTCCAGACATTGGAGGGATGCAAGCGATTGGAGGCTCCATCGCTCAGTTTTCCTCGATGTCGCGGACTGCATGGTCCCGTTTGCAGTGGATCTTTTCGCCTACAGGACAAACTTCCAGGTCCCAACTAACTTCAATTGGCTTCCAGGCCCGGAGTGCACGGCGGTGGATGCTTTTCTTCAGGAATGGCCATCTCAGGGAGCTTTTGCATTTCCTCCGTTCGCTATGATCTCCAGAGTTCTGCTGTAAGTACGTCGTTAATGTGTGTCATTAGTGTTACTGACACCCCTTTGGGAAGGCAGGCCTGGTTCCCAGAGCTTCTGGAACTTTCGCATCAGGACCCACTCCTCCTGCAGTCCCTGCAGACACTCCTCTTGGACCCGCAAGGCAAACCTCATCCCCTTGTGGTGGACAGCCGCCTCTCCTTAGTGGCCTGGACTCTTTCAGGGGAAAATGGAATGTCGACGACCTATTGCAGTCAGCTAGGACCCTCCTCTGGGACTACGAGATGTTTCTTATCTGCATGGAACTCTTGGTTTCGTTGTTGCCTGGAATGGAATTCCGATCCCTTCACAGCCCCTATATCCAGTGTTTTGAACTTCCTCTCTCACCTTTTTGACTAGGGACAGTCGTATCATTCGGTTAACGTTTCCAGGTCAGCGATCTCGGCGGCTCATGTGCCTCTCCAAGGTTCTCCCATTAGCCAAGACCCATTGGTTTGCAGACTTCTCAGGGGCATCAGACTAACACGTCCTCCAACACCTACGTACTCCTCACTCACAGTCTTATTGTTTCTACAAGATTGGCCGGACAATCAAAACCTGTCCCTCCGACAGCTTTTGGCTAAGTTCGCTCTTCTGCTATGCCTCATCTCCTTTCACAGTGTCTCTGACATTCGGGCGCTCGATGTCGATGCATTCTCCTTTTCACCAGAGGGGGTGATCTTCTCCGTGTCTAGACGTACCAAGTCGGACTCAACGGCTATTTTCTACCAATATTTCCGGAACTCGCCTAAACTCTGCGTGGTGGCAGCCCTATCTCGTTATGTGGCAATTACGACTCCTCTTCACACTTTTTTCGTTCGGGACAATTGCTCCTACGTACGACCTCACAAACCAGTCTCTTCTACAACCTTGGCGCGATGGATCAGATGGTTGTTGTCCTTGGCAGGTGTGGATCCAGCTTTCTTAGCGCATTCAGTTAGGGGTGTGGCAGCATCTGGTGCCCTAGGGGCTGGCAGTTCACTGCAAGACATCCTGCGTTCGGTGGACTGGTCTCGAGAAGACTCCTTCCAAAAATGTTATTTCAGACCGTCTGTTCATGCTTCGTTGGCCTTGTTGGCTGAGCATTAAAACAGCAAACATGCTAGCTTTAGTGTACCTATAATCTTCATTTTATTAATGACAGGAGGCAAATATTTCCCTCCCAGTTTTCACCCTACCCTTTTTATGTTTTGTCAGGTGATTTGGGTCTATCAGGTAAATATACAGTTTTTTGTTGCTGGTTTGCATTTCTGTCTGTCACTTAGTTTTTTGGGGGGTATACTTCTGGAATATTCGGGTGAAATTCATGTTGATTTTAGTCATGGCTAACTTTACTCTGGGTGGCTGCATGTTTTTTCTAAGTACATTTCATTAGTTAACCAATTTTTCGATTCCGTTTATCTCGTTTCAGTTTAAAGCTTCATCTATGATACCACGTTTGAACCACTTCTCCGGATGATGCTCATCAGTTG